TTCGTGTCCCTCTGACAGGGACTACTACCAACCTGCTCACTTTGCATCCCAGAGTTGGACATGAGGTATCTTTTTTTTATTTTTATTGGGATGCTCCAGTTACCTTGGTGCTGTCTTTTCTACCATCAGGGTGTAATTGTTTCTTTACCTTCGAGTGTATGGAGTTGGAGGGCAGAGACACGAGAAGTCCTTTGGGTCTTTGCATTGGCTTAGCTGCCTTAGTGCCAAGAGCTGGCCTAGGCATGCTGTCTAATGACCAAATGGCCCTTTGGGACCATTCTCAGCCACCTGCTCCAAAGGCAACAGGATGCTCTTGCCTTCTCCCAAGCAAGCCCGGGGTGCTGCTGGAAGACAGGCAGTGTGTCCATGCCACCCAGCTGCTGGGCTGGCCCCTAGGAGACAGGTTAGTTGCCAAATCTGCTGCTGGTCTCCTGGCTGCAGGAGATTTGCAGCCCCTCTCCAAGCTTTGGTTTCTCCCTGTGTCAAACAGAGGTATTTCACGTGATGCTGTAAAAATCTTTACAGATCTAAAAATAGGGTTTACCAGCCTGCATCACCAGTGTGTGGCAGCTTTTGTCAGCAGCAGAAAGAGTTTGCAAGCAGAAATGAGGAGCCCTTGGTTTGCTGGGGCAAGGGAAGGTTTGTCTGTGTTACATTGGTCCCAGAATGCTGTTGATGAGGAGGAGGAGGCTGAAGTGCCTGTGGGCCCCAGGGATTGTTGTATGTCAAGAGCACAGTTCCAGTGGTGAGGACAGACCTCTTTGAGAGAATCAGAGACAACCCATCTTCCAGTACAGCACAAAGCTAGGTGCCTTGCCAAAGGCAACTTGCTTGGATGCATCTTAGCACTTAAGAGTATTTAATCAGCAAAAGGTTGTCTCTGAGCATTTGGAAATAAGAGTTCGGTTGGTTTTTGGTGGTATTAATTGTTGCCTGGTGGCAGGAAGCAACAGACCCTTCTCTTGTTGCATTTCCAAAGGCCATGGAGCATGGAGTGAACTTTTGTGACTCAGACTGCAGCCAATGTAGATGTGCATCTGAACCACAGTGGTGGTTGGACCCCAGGGCCCACTGAACACTGTCTGAAAGCAGAGTCCTGTAGAAAAGAAACCTCCTAGAATGTGCTCATTGACTGTTTCAGAGAGGGCAAGGAACTCAGCAGGAGATTTTTTTAGCAAAGGCAGGAGAGTGGGCCTCCTTGCTTGCTGCTCCCAACCTAGAGTTTTTACACAGTTTTATGTACATGGGCATATGCTGTGTGTTGCACAGGATACAACATCAGGCTTCCATCCTTGTTCATGCTTCCTGCCATGTTTTACACTTGGTTTGTTAAAAGCTTAGATGAGATTTAACCCATGAAAACCTGCTTTTACATGGCTATGCCCATGCAGGTCCTCATTGTCTGTCACGGAATATGTCTCTGCCTCCTGCCATCAGACACACCAGAATATTGAGCAGCTTTAAATAGTGGCTGCAGCCATTTTTGTCCTTCTGGTCCACATGATGCTGTCTGGATGTTTAAAATGTACGACATTCAGCTGTCTGCCAGACAGGATCACGAATATCCCACACCCTGGTGTGCTAGAAGCCTATGCCAGTGGGAAGATCCTGATACTGGATCTCAAGGCAGGGCCCTTGAGATGCTCTCTCCTGTAAGGCCTCATGCCATTAAGTATCACATCAAAGCATTGCTCCTTGCAGTGCTAATGATGGCAAATGAATAGTATTTCCATCCGAAGGTTGTAGTAGTGAGTACTGCAAATCAATTCCTTCCTCATTTGCTAGAAAACACCTAGGCATTGGGCTGAGAATGGGAGAAAATGCTTGTTCCTGGGTACACTGGCTTTTAAATTTGTGGCTGTGTTGATGGTCCTCCCAGACAGAGCTTTCTGAACAGCCAGGGCAGGTTGTGAATGAATGTAATAGCTTAACTGGAAAGAAATCAGAGCTGAAGTGTGAAGGCCAACCTCTTCCAGAGTTCACAGGTCATCACCTTCCTTCCACAGAGGATAGTCTCTTGTATGGGTACTGTAACATAGTGTGCACCCTCAAACTGTTTTCAAACTATGTTTACAGTTTTATTTAAAACATTGTCACTGGCTCATTAGCCATAAGTCTTTGGCCCTCTTGCTGAGGGGAGGATGTCTCTTGCCAGCTGCTGTTTGTTGCTTGGCTGCTTCTTGTTGGCTTTGCTCCACTCTGCCTTCAGGTTCAGCTCAGATGCAGGTGTGATGCTCAAGGTGAGACTGTTGCTTCACTCCTGCCGTGCTGTTTAGCAGGAGATTTGAGATGTGACTGAAATCATCTTTCTGCTTATGAATTTCCTTTTCCAAGCCTAATGTTCTTGGAGAAGGCCTCAGGTATCTTTCATGAATGTACTAGCTGTTACACCTACCACAAATTTAGTGCTATGAACAGAGAATAATCCTGGTGTGCTCTACTGAAACCAAACATTTCTACCCTTTTCTGCTTTCTGAGGTGGTGTGTGTGGTCTGGGATACAGGCTAAGCTCCTTGATATGCAGTCCTCTGAAAAACTGGGGAGCGTGGCAAGTTGCTGGGTCTGTGGTTCCCTGCTGGCCTGAGCTGCTCTGGTCCTTCCCCTGACTCTGCTGTTGCAACACTCCTGTTGTGCAGCTGCTGGTGCTCGTTGCATCCCACCCTGGTCAGTTTGCTTTGCTGTTTCTGTTGTTTTTTGTAATTGAGTGCATTGACAGGGTGCTAAAGTGCCAACCTATCTGCAGGGCAATTTCTGTGAAGATCTGGTGAAGGGGAGAGAAAAGACTTTTGGGGTTTTTTTTTTAAAATATATGTATTTTAAATTAAATCTATTTAAATATTTAAAGTGTGTTTTACCCTCCTCTAAGCTTTTACACAAAAAGAGTAATAATGCACATTTTCACAGGCCCATCCACTGCATGAGCCAGCCCCTCTCTCTCAGACTGTGTGCCCATGGTTTCCCAAGCTACTCCTGTAATGTCAGAGTGTATTTTGATTAGCAGCCATGTGGCTGAGTGCTCCGTGGTTTATGGGTGGTTATCCTGTTTGCAGACTTGCTATGTGTTCTACAGCTCCAGCATTAAAATGTTTGGTATGGCTCTTTCCCAGGTGTGTTGTTTCTCCAGTTGCTTTGCTTATCCTTCATTTCTGGTGCATCACCTCTCGCCGTGATCTCTATGGGCAGTGCATGTGCTTTAGCATGGGAGGTCATAGCTTAGCTTTATTTGGTACCCAGATCTCACCTTTGTGCTGCAGAGGTGGCTGCTTTCAGCTGCTCTGGGACTGTCAGGAAACATGTCCTGGAATGAAGATAAATGTTGGGGTTTTTTTTTGGTGCTGTTCCAATTCTGGTTGGCACTGATGTCCAGTTGTCATATGATGTGAGTAGAGATGCTTGGGACTTACCAGCAGCAGGGTGGGACTGTAGTTCAGCTGGCTGCCTACTTTTACTGTGCTGGCAGCCTCTTGGAGGTGAAGAGGATTGGGGATTGATGGACTCAGGCACTTGTCTAAGTCTGCAGCTTCCCTGCTCAAAGCACTGGTGGTGTGAGACACTGTCTGCCCATTTTGGTAGGGCACCTTGTGTGCACCCAGCAGCTTTCCTAAGATTGAGCAGGGAGACTAAACATGAGCAGCAGAGTATGTCCCATTTCTTTTATTTTTTTGCCCCAGACATGTCTCCCAGAGAGAGACCATGTCCTGACAGATGCTTTACATCAGTTCTTTGCCAGATCACAGAAGGAGCTAGAGCTGGGCATCCTCAGGCAGGTGATTCCCAGGCTGTCCTCTGCCCTGCTCCCTGTTCATCTCTTCCCCCTGAGTCTTTGCACATCACTGAACAGGTCAGGCTGTACTTTTAGCCAAAGTTTAGCCTCTTTCAGCTGTTCTGTAGTACTTCTGGGGGGGGCTGTTGGCTTGATTTTAGCTGCCACAGTTAGGTTTTAACTTCTTTATAATGTGAGCCTGCACAGGACAGCCTGATCCACAGGAAGGAGAATCACTCACCCAGCAGTCCCCAAAGCCAGGGTAGGTCTAGGTGGTGATGGGTGTGCCCAGTCCACCTACAGCCTTAGAGTTAATCTTCCTAGGGCATGGGAGAGGACAGGAGCAAGCAAAGGGCAGTTCTTAATGTCAGCTGCCTAAAATAACCCTTTTTGTCTTTTTAAAAGCTTTGTATTTTTACAGATGAAGAGTGAGCACTCACCTCACAGGAATGCTGTGAAGGTCATGAAATACAAGGGCCTACTGCAGGACAGTAACACAACCAGGAATAATGAGGATGGCTGTAGATTT